CCTCATTTATATGTCTCCATGTGTGGTAGTATATACATATATATATATATATATATATACACATATATATATATATATATATATGTATATACTAACACACATGGAGACATATAAATGAGGTTATATGTCCATAAGGCACAAAGTAGTACTGTGACTTATGATTTCTCTGTTTTAGTCAAAAGTGGTCTGCATTAGGGTTTCCAAACAGAGAACAAAGGCAAAATGAGTTAGTATCATGTTAGAAACCTTTTTGTTGCTGTGACAAAATACCAGGTGGTAAATGCCTTTAATCTCAGCCACTCAGAAGGCTCAGGCAGGAGGATTGTGAATCCAGTCTAATCTTAGCAACTTAACAGGACCCTGTCTCAATAATAATAATAATAATAATAATAATAATACACCTACTGTTGGGTTCAATCCCCAGTACAACACTGAAATAATAATAATAATAATAATAATAACAATAATAATAATGAGGAGAAGAAGGAGGAGGAAGGGGTAAAATAACTCAAAGGAGGAAAGATTATATTTTGGCACACAGTTTCAGAAGTTTCATTCCAGAGCCATTTGGTGCCATCTCTTTGAACTTCTGTTGAAACAACATCATGGTGGGGAGCTCATGGTAAAGAAAATACTGCTCACTTCATGGTGGCTATAAAGTACAAAGAGAGGATGGGTCCAGAGACAAACTCTACCCTTCAAAAACATGCCCTTGGTGACCCTTCAAATGGGGCTGTAACTCCAGAAGTTTCCATCACCAACCAGGGACCAAATCTTCAGCACATAAGACTTGGGGGATATAACAGACCCAAAATATAACAGATATGGAGGATATAATAAAACACTAAAACCTGGCAATCTTTAAAATACCAGGCATTGAACCCAAGAGCACTTAAACAATAAGCCACATCCCCAGTCCTTGTATTTTACTTAGAGACAGGGTCTCACTGAGTTGCTTAGGTCCTTGCTAAGTTGCTGAAACTGGCTCTGAACTGGGATCCTCCTGCCTCAGCCTCATGAGCCCTTGGGATTACAGGCATGAGCCACTGTGCCCAGCAGTAAAATACCTTATTATAAAGCAACACTCTGGCCACTCTCAAAGTGGCCTGCCCTGGCCAGCTAGTACTGAATCAGTGGAAATGTTAGATCACAGATACACACAACAGAATGGGATGGTTGTCAGGACTAATATTTGTTGGGCACATATCAACAATCTAAGGTGGATGGATTCAGTCTGAGGTGATTCTCCTCTTGGATAATGTGATCTCCTCTGGAATGTTCAGCAGCCTCATGAAGTAAATGACAAAGAGAATATAAAATAAACCACTGCAGCATGTATTATAATAAAGGTATGCACAATAGACTAGCATAAAGGAATAGGTTATTATTTAAAACTACTGAGGAAAGATCAGTCTGCACGCAAGCACAGACACAATCAATGAATAGAAATTCTCTAGCTTTTCCAAAGAGGGAATTGGAGGGGAAGGATGCAGGGATGGAAGAGGAGACGAGAAATTCAGACAGCAGAGTATAGGCAATGACTCAGAACATGGAGGATAAAGCTTATTCAGAGACCAACAAGAAACTAGTGTTTTAACCAATGTATTCTAATTCTCAGGAATGCTTATGTAAATCATTTTGTTGATTCACTTTACCTTCAGTATACTCCATAGTACTGACACATATTGAGTAGGTACTCAGTGACTATTAAATAAGTGAATGAACATAATAAGTTTACAAACCTAGGAAAATAAAGAGCCTAAGATGCATCAAAGTGCAAAGGTAATCATGCTTCGTTTTTTCCCAGTACTGTTGAAATATCCATATGAACTACTTCCTAGATACATAAAAATAAAACAGACCAGTCATTGAAACTCACACACTATGAAATTCACTTAGAAGTCATAAAACCTGGATGAGGTTCAGAATGCGGGGGCTACCCACAGTAGCCCTTTGACACTGATATTGTATTATATTGTATTGAAAAAGCTATTTGAACATTCTGAGAATATATGAAATTCCACTAGATGGAAGTTTAAGTGGCTCTGAAAAGCATGATTCTGCTTTCAAATTTTTCATTTAACAAATATTATGTTTTTCTGTCACTGTGCTAGGCACTGTGCACACAACACTGAGGCAGACACTGCTCTACTTCTTTAGTAACTGACAGTCATTGATGATCAGAAAGTAATCAAAATATTGCAGTACAGTGAGTGACACAGACTGGAGGTTGCCCCATTCTGTTCCCTTCTCCTGTGTTCATTCATTTCATCCCAACACTCACCTGGACCTAGAACTTACAATTGCCCCCACACCATGCTTCAGTATTTAGGAGCCCCACTTCAATCATAAAACAATCATTTATTATGAATCATGACTGTGCACTGCATCTTGCTTAAACAATTTCTCCTTGGATCCCCCAAAGTTAACCAGCTCTAAACTCACCATTTGTTCTCTCGCATCCACTGTGTGTGGAATGTATCTGTTTTCCTTCTGCAATAACCAGACTTAAAAGGACCTTTTTGAATTCCATTAAGTGAATTTCACACACACAAAAAAAATGGACATCACTGGGAATTTGGTAGGAAACAGAGAGGGATGTCTTTACATTGGGGCCCCAATGTAATAACTGTTAAAAGTATTCAATCTTATTTCTGTTTCCATGACCATTTTACCATGGACATGGTGGGGAGGAGTCTCTCTCTCTCTCTCTCTCTCTCTCTCTCTCTTCCTGTCTCCCTGTTTCCCATCTTCTCCTCCTCACTACCTCTTCTTATCTCTTTATTTTTCCTCATGTACTACATAATCTTGTTGAATCACCTCTTTTCTTTTACACAGAAAATTTAGTCCAATAGGAGTTTCCACTTTCAAATTTCATACTCAGTGTTCAGCAAAAGTTACCTGCCCTGCTTATCTGGTCAGTTAAAAGGACCAACTGTCTTTAAAGGTGTTTTATAGATCATATTTTGTAACAAAAACCTACTCTTATGGTCCTCAGCTATCCCAAGTCTTTCCCCAATAATAGATTAATGAATCAAATTTTCTGCTTTTCCTTTTAATGGTGGTCTGTGGATGTGGTAAGTGCTACAACTGAGAAACTGCACAGTGCAATGAGAGAATATAAGAGGGACATCTGTCTCCCATTTCAGGGTCATGGAAGAAGGAAGCAACAATCCTAAATAAAACTTGAATAAAGAGCAGCCAACAGATGGGCAAAGGAGTTGGTGCTATGGGCTGGTAGTTAAGAGAGAGAAAGAAAGTGGTCAGCAAGGAGAAACAAAGACTCAGGGGAAAAATCGCAGGTGAAAAATAAAACAATGTGTATAGAGGGACTCGCTTTTTGTATGATTCTGTCTTGCGTTGTCTTTCCTAGGACTCTCGTCATGTTCTCAAATGCAGTGCTTCAGAAAATACTGCTGGTGTTGACATCTCTTTTAGTCATTGCCTGGATAACTTCTATAATTTCTCAAAACTCCACAAAGGTATGAACAATTTTCTCCAGTTTGGTTTGAAACCTCCATCTGTAACTCTGTCAACTGAGAACCTGTAAATCAGTCCTTCCTCTTCCCTCCACTCCAACTCTGCTCTCTTCTCTCCTTCTCTACCTCATTTCAGAGGGACATTGTCTGCATTTTCTTTCTCCATTTTCCATTCATCCTCAATCCAGTCCAATCAGATTCTACCTCATACATGCCCCAAAATGGTTCTTGTGAAGGCCACTAGCTTCCCCGTGATTCTGAGTACTTGTCACCAAATCAGGTGCATATATTTCTTCCAGTTTGCTATTTTTCTTTTTATTTTGTCTATGATTTATTTTTCATGCAAAAGTTATTTTTTAGTAAAACAGTTTCCTTTGTTGTTTTTGGTATTTTTTTTTCTTTTTTTGGTTCTGGGGATTGAACCCAGGGGCACTTAACCACTGAGGCACATCCCCAGCCATTTTTAGTATGTTATTTAGAGACAGGGTCTAGCTGAGTTACTTAGGGCCACATTAAGTTGCTGAGGCTTGATTTGAATTTGCAATCCTCCTGCCTCAGCCTCCTCAGCTGCTGAGGTTACAGTTATGCATCACTGTGCCTGGCTGGGTCTGGTAAATTTTAGTCAGAAGATTTCCTACTACAAGCTTATATGCGAATCTACCCATGTTTTCTTATATTTTTGTTTTGCATGATTCTATTGTTTGTTTCTAAACATATGATTCACTTCAAGTTTGCTGTGAAATTGTATGTGATATTGACCTAATTTTATTCTTCCTTATGGCTATCAAGTTATTTTATTCCTCTTAGTAAAATTAAATTTAACCCCCCCTCGATTGGGTGCAGCCTCTATAATATACTAAATTTCTGTATGTAATAAGGTCTATTTTGATTCTTTATTCTGTTCCAGTTTTTATTCATATCCCAATTCTACTCTATTGTACTTAGACTTTAGAAGTAAACATTACTATCTAATAGGGCCCACCTTAGCACACACATCATCCCTGATATCTATTTCCCCATATTTTTCTGGCTATTCTTTCTTACTTATTCTTTCAAGTAAACTTTCTAATTGAACTTTCTGATCCAGAAAATACTCAGGATATTTTTATTCCATTGAATACATAAATTAACTTTACAAGAAATAATAGCTTCATGATGTTTTCTATCTAATAACATAGTTCCCCTTCCAGTTGCTCAGTTTGTTTCCTGAGCCAGGCACTGTGGCACACACCTGTAATCACAGTGGCTGGGAAGGCTGAGTCAGTAGGATTGTGAGTTCAAAGCCAGCCTCAGCAAAAAACAAGGTGCTAAGCAACCTAGTGAGACCCTATCTCTAAATAAAATACAAAATAGGGCTGATATGTGGCTCGGTAGTCAAGTGCCCCTGAGTTCAATCCCCATTACCAAAAAAAAATTATTTTATATACATATATATATATTATATAATTTTTTTCTCGTATAATTTCCTCATGTAAATATTGGACACATGTGAAATATATAACTGAATATCTCAGTGTCATTTGGCAACCATATACCAGACCATTTGTTTCATTTGACCCTATCTGTAGTTGTGTCTGCACATGTGAAAGCTACTGATTTTTATACATTAAATGTATTACCTAACTTTTTGCTCAGTCTTTCTATTGTCTGTAGCCATTCTTCCATTTCTACTTTGAGGTTTTCCATAAAAATATCCCCTGCATCTGAAAAGAAAGACTATTTTACCTCCTTTTTCCCAATTCCAATGACTTATTTGCTTTCCCTTGCCAAGTAACATTTAGCGAATTCCTCCAGCCCAATATTAAATAGTAGTAGAATGTGGACAATTTACTTGTCTCATGCCTCATTTGGTGGCAAAGCCTCTCCTGTTACCTTTTAAGTAAAATATTAATAGAATATCTTATGGGTGGAATATGTAAATTTATTTTTGTTGAGTGTTTTATAACAAAATTGTGCTAAGTTATTTGTAGTAATATCCTTTTGCTCCAGTTAATACTATAAGGCAATTAATAAGCAAATACTACTTTTCACCTCTCTTTCTACTGTTCAGCTATTTTCATGGTGGTATTGCCTCTATAATCTCAGAGTACAGAGCCATTGCATAAATATTCTATTCCTTGTAAGCATCAATTAGAATTATTCCTGTAAGCTAATAGATATTTAGTTCTTACCACAAACACATATATCAAACTTTACAGTTATTCTCATTGCTTAAAGTTCAGTCTGATTTAATAGGTTCTTTAGAAGGATTCAGAAAAAAATAGCATCCTATAGTTCAAAAAATTTGTCTTTGATAATTATCACAAAGGTCAATTTGTCTAATTTTATTTTAAAATTCCTGCCTCATGTTTCTTTCTTTGTATTCCTTAAATATTTTACTCCAGTGAATTTTAGCTTAAAATTAATGAGTAAAGAAAATAAAAATTTAAGAAAAAACACAAATAACTATAAAGTGGTATGCTAAACAAGGAAAAATCTACAAAATAAAATAAAATCATCATACATTTGGATGAACCTAGCAAAATACCCACACATTAAAATTAGAACATTCAGATTTACAAGCTAAACTTGATATGTCACAGGGATAGTAGGTAATTTATTATACCTAGTTCAGAAACTTATAAATCAGACTCCAAAATTAGTAAATATCTATAAGGTCGGAAAACAATAAAAAAAAATGATCTAACACAAACCCATACGGGAAGGGAGGTAGTTTAAATAGTGAATTAAAAGGTATATTTTTATTTAGATATTGTTTGGTTCTGTTGTAAAATTCATTTGTTTCTTTAAAATAGTTTCTCCGTATTGCTGATATTTCCTATCTTTCCATCCATTACCTCATTTAGCAGTTATAATACCAATTTCAAAGACCTTGTCTGATAATTCTAATATATTTTCTCCATGTTTGTTTCCATCAGTTGTCTCCTCCTTTGAGAAATAGTGCATGTTTCTGCTTCCTTCTATGCTGAATAATATTTAATTGTATACTAAAACTTTAACTGTTATATTGTGGGACTGTAAATTCTGTTTTACTCCTTAGGAGTGTATTAATATTTTTGAAGTGGCCAATGATTAACTTAATTCAAATTGAACTGCAAACTGTCTCATCTGTGATTAAAAGTGATTCAAACCTTAATTAATGAGTTGTTTATATGATCAAAGTTGACATTAGGGTTGTTTATACTATACCATGTCAAGATGAAGAAAATTCTGGTTGAATCTTGGTTTGGATGTCATTGGAGTTTGGACACTTAGCAGATGCCCATCAGACTTTGGGTGTGGATCTTTCCTGTGTTGCAGGGGTGCAGGAGCCACTTCCCTAGTTGCTATGAAATTCCCACCAGCAGCTTCTGCTTTGTCAGCACACACACACACCCCTCTAAACTATCTTGTATTTACATATATTTATATAAATATGCATCTGAGGAGAAAAAGACAATTTAAAGGCCATGTTGATGAGTGAAAACTTTCACTTTTCCTATATTGCTGTTATCAAGTTTTAGTGTAAGGTGTTTCCTCATTATATAAGTTAATAATATTTGTACTCACAAATAAAAATTGTTCAGCCTGTGAATTTAGGAGGTGGGCAAAATGGAAAAAAAATGTTTTCATCATCTTTATATTGTTATTAGTATTATATATACTGTATAGTTATTTTCTATCCCCCTTCTCTATTCGTAGTGTGTGTACTAAGATTTATGCTTTCATAAAACACAGACATACATGAAAGGATTCTTATTTAAATTTCATATATTTGCATCTCTCACTATTTCTTTTTTTTAAAGAAAGAGAGAGAGAGAAGAGAGAGTTTTTTAATATTTATTTTTCAGTTTTCGCTGGACACAACATCTTTATTTTTATTTTTATATGGGGCTGAGGATCAAACCCAGCGCCCCACGCATGCCAGGCAAGTGCGTTACTGCTTGAACCACATCCCCAGCCCTCTCACTATTTCTTACTTGGCTTAACTAAAGGTTTCTCAGTTCTCTAAGTTTTCCCAAAGATTGCACTTAGATTTTCTTCATCTATTTTTTAGTTATATCTCATTTCTCGGTTTCCAGTCTCTTTTGGTTTACTATGCCACTGTGATACCAACCACCAGGGTTTTTACTGATTGAGGGTGGGCCACAGAGTATTCAGGAAAGGATTTTTTGTACTCCTGAGATTTGAGATCTACATATGTTCTTACATGTGAGGCAGTTGACAATCACTGATCTATAACCAGTGTTCTCAAGCTTATCTGAACACAGGATGTCTGTGAAGTGTTTGAAAACCGCATACTTCAGGATTGCAATTTAGTGACTATGGTTCAGTTGACCTGGACTGCAGCCTCAGAATCCATGTTTTGAGAAAAGCTTGGCATTTGCTTCTGATTATCAACAAGATTCAGAAACCACTGAATTTGAGCACCTCTAGAACACTGTACAGTGACAACTAAGGTTGTTGGGATTTCTAAATAAGAAGTTAACAGGTGTTTAGGTTCTTTGGAGAAAAGAAGAAGGTAGCCACCAATGCAGAAATTGGAGAAAGTGTTAGTAAAATGCAAGATGTACAAGAAAGGAAAGTCATCTCCTAAAAAGAAAAGCAGTTAGTCTTGTCAAAATAGAGTGCACAGGACAAAGTGCAGAACTAGGCTGGAAAGACAGACCAGAGCATAAAGCCCTGTTAAAATTGGATTTTATCCCCAGAATCATGAAAAGACATTAAAGGGATTTAAGGAGTAGAGTTTTGCTTTCAAAGGGCTGATAAACTACAAGGGGGAAAACTGAAGGGAGAGAAAACAGGACTGTCCTCATGAAGCCTGAGAACCACTTCCCAGTAGAGGAGGAAACTACAATCCAGGAGAAAAATGGTGGCAGCTAGAACCATGATAAGCTGGGGAGGAAAAGATGGTTACACATGGGTAAAAGTATACTGAGGAGGAACTAAGAAATGAGCTATTGGGAGTAGGGTGTATCTGAAAAGGAAGAACAAGTGAACCAGCATCATCTTCTTACTCATATGTATTATTTGAGATATAAATCTAATATTGAGTATGTTAATTTATAATTGCTCAGACATTCTCCAAAATATTGATGTAAAAATATGATTTTTTAATTTATGCAGAATTGTCAGAAATTTTAAATGATATGGATGATAATAGGTGAACTCAAATTCATTATAAGTAAAATTTTTAAAAAATTACTGGGAACAGGTTTATTGAATAGTATGTCCTGTTTGTTATCATTTCAGCTTTGGTCTGCTATAAATGTACCCATCAGCTTTTATCACTGGAACATCTCCACAAACTGTTCATGTTCTGAAATAAAAATGAGCCCTGTAAACACACCAACAGAAACTGAGCTGAGAATAAGGAAGATTCTGAAAACACTAAACCAGCTGATCCCACCCATACCCTTCACCCATGAGGACACCACCACCAGTGCCACACACAGCACAGTCACCCTCCTCAACCCTAGAAACACATACTGCAGGGGGGACCAGCTAGACATCCTGCTGGAGGCCAGGGACCACCTGGGACACAGAAAGGAATATGGAGGGGACTTTTTGAGGGCCAGGATGTCCTCCCCAGCCCTGAAGGCAGGCGCCTCAGGAAAGGTGACAGACTTCAACAATGGCACCTACCTTGTCAGCTTCACTCTGTTCTGGGAGGGCCAGGTCTCTCTGTCTCTCCTGCTTATCCACCCCAGTGAAGGGGTGTCGGCTCTCTGGAGGGCAAGGAACCAAGGCTATGATAAAATTATTTTCAAAGGTAAATTTGTTAATGGCACCTCCCAAGTCTTCACTGAATGTGGCCTGACCCTAAACTCTAGCTCTGAACTGTGCACCTACCTGTATGGGATAGACCAGGAAGCCTTCTACTGCAAGAAGCCTCAACACATGCCCTGTGAGGCCCTGACCTATATGTCCTCCAGGAACCGAGAAATTTCTTATCTTTCAGTCAAGGAAAAAAGCCTTTTCCATAAGTGAGTATAATTTTTAATACAATGAGAGCTATTGGGATTAGGGTCATACATAGCTGTCTCAATATTGATCCTCTCAGATACTTCCTCCACTCAAAGTTATAGTCATATATGTGATGTGATATTTTCATGGCATCCCTGTTTATGAATCAACACCATAGTTTGCATTTTGATTGATACAGTCACAAAAGATGGTTACACAGAAAGAATTCAATAATATACATGCATTTACATCTCTGTATTAATAAGGATTGTTACTATAGATATACATTTTACAAAATACACTCTGTGGAAAACTATTTTGCTATGTGTTCATAGATGTTCCACATTGGGGAAAAAGGATTCCTTGTAAATATATTTTAAAAAAATCATGCTACTTTACCTTCCATATTGTATCCCACAGATTCTGCCTCTTAAATGTCTTTATTGTTCATTCCTCTCCATGCCCAGTGCTGCTATCCAAGTAGAGACCACTACTACCTCATTTGCATGACTGAAATGGGTTCCCACCTGGTCTCCCTTCCATCATCCATCATACCCTCCTTACACTGCAGCCTGAGCAACTTTTCTAAAAGGCCATCTCCTAAGGTGCATGGGCTCTCTCTTGTCCAGGGAGGAGATCCACAGAACAGGGTAGAGGAGAGTGCGGCTATCCTGATCTATAGTGCATGGCTTACTTCTGAACAAATAAAAGCACAGTTGGTTTTCTTTTCTTCCTTTTTGTCTCCAGTGTGCAACTCACCACATCTCTTCCTCCCCATTAACCATCCTGATGGCTGAACCCCACTAAGGATCACTTACCATTTCATGGGATTGGATCTAAAGAGACATCCATAGCATAGAACAGGGTACAACTTATATCTGTTGTATATATGTTGTATTAGGCACCTGAGTCTTCATTGTTCCCTTGACCCCTTCCTGCCTGCCTCCATTTACACACAGTTATACACAGGAGATAAGCAGTAGAGCTGAAAGTAGGAAGATTCTGGTAGGCTTTCATCAAGTGGAGGAAAGAATCAGTGTACAAATAGAGTGTGCATTTATTTATTCATGCACCAGGTTGAACATTACTTTCTGCCAGTCACATTGATGGATATTTAGGATACAACAGTGCATACATATGAATACATTACCTTTCTTCACATGATCCTTATAAAGCACATATTGCAGGACAAACTGAAGGTAAAAGCAGGAAACATGCTTAAGGAGGAAAACAGGGGCTCTGTGATGAGGGGTCTTGGTGCCATGACAAGGAGCCTGGACTCCTTAGGTAAGTGATGCAAACCCAGTCAAGGGCTTTAAACAATAACGCAGTTGCATTTGCCATTGGAAACTGTGCTCTGGAGGGTGTGTTAAAGAAATTAGATGGGATAAAACTTAGGTTGGCCAACTAGAGGCTCACAATAAGTCAAGAAAAATATTTTGTAAACTTGAATGGGTGATATGGAAGAGGATAAAGAACTTGCAGATTTGATACACATTATGAATCTAAGATTCTAGGACATACTATTGCATATCGCAGATGAGAAGAGCTGCCCCAGACTTCAGATACTCTCCACAAGATAGAAAGACTTCCAAAACCTAATTTACTTATAATACCCAGTATTCTCAAAATTTATAATAAAAATAATAGTTTCAATTATTAAAAATTATCCTTTACTTGCAAGGAGGTGATTTATGTGGCCTGCGCTGTGTGAAAACACAACAGGCTAATCTATGATCTTATTTTTTGAAGGTCCAAAGTGGGAGTTGAAATGATGAAAGACCTTAAAAATATTGATGTCTCCCATTGCAACAGTAAGTCTGCTTTTTTTCTGTGGTAGATGCATGTGTCATGTGTCTTATGCAGAGAAAAGTTATCAGTGTTAACTCTATTAGTTGTAGATTTCCAGCAACATGATTCTTAGCAGGTGTCTGTGATCTCAGTCTTTTTGAACATTATAGAAGAAATCAACTCAAGGAAATTAGTTTAAACTTTGTTTATAGCAGATTTCTTCTTGACTTATCCTAAAGGAGAAAATCTTAGTACCCTACATTCATCTCCTAGAGTCTGAGGTGCTGTGCAGATGGGTACCCATGGCTTCAGAGCAGGAACACTCTGGCTTTGGTTTCCTCATCTCTGTTGACATAATTCCAGCTTTTAGTTAGTTCACTTAGCAATTTCATATGAAGTTTCTATCTTATTAATTGTTTCAACAGCAAATACAAAGCAACGTTACACGTGAAAGAATAATATTTATGCTTATTTATACCTTAGCTTTATTTTTTAAATTTTTTACACATTGATGGACTTTTCTTTTATTCATATATTTGTATGTGGTGCTTAGAATCGAACCCAGTGCCTCACACATGCTAGGCAAGTGCTCTACCACTAAGCCACAGCTCCAGCCCCTATACCTTAGCTTTAAATAATTATATATAAAGCCTGTGATTGGTAAACTTGAAAACTCATGATTTATTTCTTATATTTATTCATTTTTTTCATACAAGGCATTTTGACTCAACTAAGTAAAATTAATACATAGTACGTTTATGATCTAAAAAATTTTAATCTGGGGCTGGGGTTGTGACTCAGCAGTACAGTGCTCACCTTGCCCGTGCGAGGTCCTGGATTTGATCCTCAGCACCACATAAAAATAAATAAATAAAATAAAGGTATTGTGTCCAACTACCACTAAAAAGTATTTTAAAAAATTTAATCTACCAACTCTGTGAAGAAACCAAAACGCAGAAGGAGTTATGTTAAAGTTCATATTTGAGTAAGCCCTGAAGAATATCTGTAGTCAGAGAATGAGGTAAAAGTGAAATCACAGAAAGATCATGGTAGAATTGTCAGATGTAAGAAAATAATATAAAAACATCAGCTAATTTTGAGTACTTTCTAGTTGCCTATGTATTTATATATTGAGATAAAGAAAACTTTGAATCATACACTTAAAAAAGCCTTCCTGCTAGAAGTTATTTAATTGTCTTTCCTGGATTCTTTCACGTGGTAAGGTGTTTTTTTTAATATTTTTTATTTGTCAATGGACCTTTATTTAATTAATTTATTTATGTATTGTATGTGGTGCTGAGGATTGAACCCCATGCCTCACAATGCTAAGCCAGCACTTTGCCATTGAGCCCCAGCCCCAGCCCCAGCCCCAGGTGTTTTTTTTTTTTTTCATCCATTCATGACCAAAATTATCTGGACCCTGTTGGGCCTAGAAAATAGGAAGAAGCCAAATTATGGAAATTCTCAAGGGCATGCTGTAGATTTCAGTGTTTATTTGGTAAACTTTTGAAAACTCCAGAGATCCACTGAGGAAGAGAGTGGTATGCTCCCCTTTATACTTCAAAAGGCAAATTCACAAGTGAACAAAATAAGTATGAACTACATAAAGAGAATTTAAATTGTTACTAAGGGACATAAAATAAAATTTATACATGGAAGAAAATATGATATTTCTGGATGGGATGAGTTCATATTTAAAGGATATCAATTTTCTCTGCATTAATTTCTTCTTGCTGCTACGACCAAGTGGCTTTTAATAAAATGAACATATTCTCTTAGTGTTATTCTTCCAACACCCAATATCAGTCTCACCAAGTGAGTCAAGATAGAGAAAACCTGTATTCTTTTCTGGAGGTCTATGGAAGAAGCTGTTTCTTTGCCTTTGGGGCTTCTAAAACATGCCCTCCTTATTTGTAACCAAAAAATCAAAACAACAAATAAAACTAAGATCTTCCTTATCAAAACCACAACAATGAGTCAGTTACTCAGGTAACATGTTTCTGGCCTACCTTCGGCCTCCCTCTTTCAATTTAGAGGACCAATGAAATTAGACTGAACCCCTTCCCCTAGATAATCCAGGATTGTCCCCTCTCAGAGTCTATACACTTAGTCAATCTGGAAAATATTTCTGTCATACAAGGCAACATATTCACAGGATTGAGGAGTTAGGACCTGAATATAATGGGGAGCCACAGTCTGCCTACTATAATCTCTAAACCAAAAGGTGAGCAAAATTAACCACAAAATATTGAGCCTATTCTAAAATAAAATTATGTAATAATCATAAGGAAATAAATTCTCTGGCATGTAAATATTATACAGGATACGCTTTTCAATAATAAGCTCAAAGGCTATCATCTTGAATATGCCAGTACATTACTGGGATGGGGAATACTTGGTAATTGTGGGTGTTGAGTTTTTAGGCTTATGATATTCAAGCATCCATGATGCAGTGTTATTGAGCTTCCTACAAGAGCAACTATGTCACAGTAAAATATCAACATGATTATAGGATTAGGAAAACTACCTTTGGCAAGAAAAATCACAAGATTTAATAGCTCTTCCAGTTTCATTTTCTAATTCTGCCACCAGCACCATTTTACCACTTTGTCCTCAAATTACAAATACATCTATCCGTTGATATTCATGGGGGTGGGGGTTGCCTGCAGGACCCACCAGGGACATCAAAATTGACACCAAGATGCTTACCCCTTATATATAATGGGATGGTACATGGTATAAACTACAACATCTTCCCATATACTTTAAATCATCTCCAGAATACTTATATCACCCAATTCAACATACATGCTATATAAATAGTTGCTATGCTATATTGTTTAGGGAAAAAAGGAGAGAAAAATCTGCATGTGTTTCGCAAGATAAAAAAAAAATTCCCAAATATTTTCCATCCATGGTGGGTTGAATCCATAGATACAGAACCCATGGATACAGTGGCTCAACTATATAGTACCAACATGTAAGGAAATACTATTTTGTGGACACAGGCAAACAGAGACTGCAATGCCTATGAGGAGCTAAAGAAGGAAGGTAAAGCAAAGACTGCTGGTAATCCCCAACTATCCATTCATTTCTCGCACTCCAGAAGAGAAACCATTAGTTTAGCTGAACCCCTGGCCACCTTTCCTTGTGGCTACTTATGGCCACATTACATTTTTTCTAGGAGTACAAATAGGAAAGGTATGGGAAATTTGTACGTAACACCTTTAAAGGCAAAACAGCTTGCCCTCCTCATCCATTTGGCTCCTTCTTACTGGCTGAACTATAAAAGGAAGTTCAGTGGTAATGTGCTGACCTAGCATGCAAAGGCTCAGGGTCCCATTCCACACACTGCAAAAAAAAAAAAAAAAAATCAAAACAACAACCAATAAAACTAATGAGGCAATGGCTCAGCAGTGGTGCAGAAGCATAGAGCTTGGCAAGGAAGCATAATGTCAGACATCTGAGGAAGTTTGTTATAGCATGGCAGAGTTGGTGCTCTGCCACATGGGGTACCTTAGAAGACAGACCATTAGAGAGCCTGCCATTCTAGGAAAACAGGCTACAATGGCTCAGAATATTGGTTTCTGTGGAATACTGCAAATCACCTTTAGCAAGGTCCTATTAAAAAAACAACAACATTAAGTCAAGGTAAATATTTTATACTATTGAAGGTTTCCAAATGTGTACATGTTATAATTTAAGCCTTTTTTTTAAACATGGCACACTTCACTGTTCCTTCATTGATGGAACAAATAAAAATGATTCAATAACAAAGACAACAGCTGACAATCCAGTAACACAATTCAGAGTAGAGAACAGAAAAGTCACTATCATATCACAGGAATGGCAAAGAGAGAGAGAGAGACAAGAAAGGACATCACAACTTAGCTAAGGAGCCCAGGTGGGAGAAAATGAATGGGAAGAGTCAGTATGACTCAAAATCTCTCAAAAGAATGAGTAGCAGAGCCTAAAACAAAGCCTGTGATAAAAAAAAATACCTCTAGTAAGACAGAAGACAAGACTGTAGGGAGAGAGAAAGAAATCAGGAAGGGAAGGACCAAGAAAGGAGGCTGGTGTTTACACATGCCACTACCACCACTCACTACAGGATCTCTGCTCCCAGAGAGTGAAAAGAGCACAGAGAAATGCCAAATTGGAATGAAGATTCCTGTCCCTGGTGGATACACTTTACAAGGAAGGTGGATAACAACATTTTGTAACCAGATTCAACTAGATACAAATAACATCAATGGCTGCTTGAAAGGAAAAATCATTTACCTTCTTGGAGACTCCACAATATGTCAGTGGATCTACTACTTACCCAAAGTTGTAAAAAGTATGTACTTACTTTATATTCTTTTGGAAGTTCAGGCTGATCATAAAGTAGTTTCAGTGAGGTCTGTTCTCACTTGGGCTGGGTTTATTATTATTATTATTATTATTATTATTATTATTATTATTATTTCACTTAGCTTTCTAGAATGCAATCTTAATTTGAAATCTGTTTTATTACCTCTTTCATAAGAAATGTTGTTCCTCTTTATAAACTCCAATGAAAACTTCAGATTTTGTTTGACGTTTCACGCGTGTGAATTAGTAATTTATTCCAGATGTTAGAATGCTTCCGACAAAACTATATCAGGTAGATATTGTAAATGATATTGTGAATATTCTTTTAAAATGCACTGACATTACTTTTTAGTTAAAATCTGTTTTGTTTTGTTTTTTAATCAGCACTGAAGTTTTTTGATCTTCATGAAACCGGATCTTTTCCAAAGCGTTTGCTTCTGGATGCGGGAAGACATATTCAAATTCAATGGAAAAAACATGGCTTTCCTATTATCACTCATAATCTCTACTCTGTGACAGATGAAGCTTACATCCCTCGAGAAATTGACCTAATATCAGGGGATAAAAACACAGCCATTGTCATTACATTTGGCCACCACTTCAGACCCTTCCCCATTGACCTTTTCATTCGCAGGGCCATCAGTATTCGAAAAGCTATTGAACGACTATTCCTAAGAAACCCCGACACTAAAGTGATCATTAAGACAGAAAATATCAGGGAGATGCACGTAGAAACAGAGTGGTTTGGAGATTTCCATGGTTACATTCATTATCTTATCCTGAATGACATTTTCAAAGATCTCAATGTGGGTGTCATTGATGCCTGGGACATGACCATTGCATATGGCACCAATAATCTCCACCCACCTGATCATGTGATTCGAACTCAGATTAACATGTTCTTAAGCTACATTTGCTAAAGCATAAGTATAAAAAAATCACTAAATACCAATTTTTACACCCCTTGTGTCGATGAAATTTTATTCATTTTAATTATTAAGAAAATCAAATTTAAAAGAATACCCATGGGATTATTTGTGGGACACTTACAGACAATAAGAATGGAGATGAGATGCAAATCCCAGAGTATGAGATGTAAGGAATGATCATATCATGCCTGGAGCTTGTCTGTGTGTAAATAATAAATATTTTAGGCATGGTTGAGTATGATTTCTGTTACTCATGGCTGAACAGAGAGTAAAAGGGAATAAACATGTAATCATCATGATGTTCTATAACTGTCACCTAACTTCCTCTGTAAAGGTATAGAGAGTAAATATTTTGGAATCTGCAGGCTATCCTGCCTCTTTCACAACTGCTCCACTCTGCACTGCAGTACAAAAGCAGCCGCAGACAACATGTAAAGTGAGTGGGTTATATTTTAATAAAACTTTAAGAATGGACAAAGAAACTTGTTTCATATAATTGACACGTCAGGAAATAGTATTCTTCTTTTGATTCCCCCTCCACCCCAATTATTTAAACACTCAAAAAACATTTATAGATCACAGCTTCACCAAAAATGTAGTGGATATATTTAGCCCCTGGGCCTACTTTGATGGGGCCTGATTTAAAACAAACAAATTGGTAGAATTGATCAAAAATTCCTCCAAAGTTAAGGGAAAAACTAGTACAAACTAGAAATAGAAGAAAATTCCCATAAGTTGAGAAAATTGAATCTAATAGAAAACTATAAGCAACATCACTTTCTGAGTGAAACACAGCAAACATTCCTTAAAAAGTCAGATAACAGAGCTGAGGACTTCTCACTAGCTCTATCTACCTGTGAACTGCAGTACACCTCAGAAAAGAACAGACTCACTGCTCCCATTTCATCATTCCCTTAGGAAAAACAAAAAGCCTAGGTAGAAGAATTTAGAATGAGGAGCACCACAAGCTCAATATACAGAACCTAACAACTTCTCTAACAGTATAAACAGATATTAGATAAGAATTAAAATTGCATGGAATTTCTGTGTACATATTGTGCATATCTTTCATTGAATTTAATCCTACATTTTGTAACTTTTTATAGTTCTACTATTGTATTTTTGTAACACATTTTATTTTTACAAATATGCACAAATCTTCAAAGTGTAGCTCACTAAATTATCAAAACTAAATACCTGTGTAACCCAGTGGTTTGGATTAAATGCAACAGAAGATATGCAAGAACACAACCCCATATCAAACTGAATGACTAAATAGTTTTACAGATAAAATAAAATTCTACAGATAAAATAAAATTTGTATTTAAAAGTCTTAAAAGATTATATTGTGCATCAGGTTGTATATAATTTGACAATATGATTCTAAAATTTCTAAAAATAAATGTAAAGAGATAAAACTAATGAAGATACTTCTGAAAAAGAATAAAAGAACTTACTTTTCCAAACATCAAGAATTACCTTAAAGCTAGAATCTAACAGTGTGGCACTGGTGCAATGAAAAACCAAAGACCAATGAAACAGAATCAAGGAAGCAGAAGAGGCCCTGCAAACACAGTTGCTCCATGCCACATGGAGCAATGAGGAAAAGATAGTAAATTGCATAAGTGTTATGGGAAAATAGGATAACCATGTGTGAAAAATAAAACAAAATCAGAGCCCTACATTACACTATTCATAAAAAATAGATTAGTGTCCAGGGAGATCACAAACTAATGTAAAAAGGAAAAGAGTAGAGCTTATTAAAGTGTGCATCTCACACTATCGGTGCTAAAGTCATTTTCTTTAAAATACCTAAACTTTCCATGCCTGGTCCTAGTGCACATGACTGGTACACAGCTGGTTCACCTTCGACTCTCCACTTGAGTTTGACACCCACCAGGGAGCCTAGTTCACCCCTCACTGTCTTGCATTCCTCAGTAAGGCCATGTTCCTATATCTCTACATGTTTCCTAAATTCCTATACTTGTATCTCATGGACCAGCAAAAAACACTTCACAAATTCACCCAGCTCCTCACATCTCAATGTAATACAGTGAGAAAAGATTCTTAGACTGGTGAAAGTAACATAGAATAAAGGATTGTTTTCTGTTTCCAGACTGATAATGTGAAATCCAAATTAACAAATTGAAGTATGTATATAAATAATTTTACATCACCCCCTAAAAATTATAAAGCAAAAGATAAATGGCCAATAGAAAGAAACACTTGCAATCTATCCTAGACAATAAACTAATATGCTTAATATATAGGAAGCTCTTGATTAAAAAGATCCAGGGAGAAGTGCTGGAGAGTGATATTGGCTAAATTATATTGTATTAGTGTTCATGTATGAGCATGTAACAACAAATCCCCTTGATATGTACAATTTTCTTCAATGTTCTGTAGTTTTCATTGTAGAGGTCTTTCCCTTTCTTATTTAGTTTTATTCCTAGGTATTTTATGTTTTTGGGGACGATATTTTAAATAAAATTATTTTCCTGATTACTTTCTCAGCAGATTTATTATCGATATATAAGAAGTCTATTGATTTTTTATCCTGATTTTGTAACCTGTCACTTTGCTAAATTTGTATTTTAGCTCTAAGAGTCTTTCCGTGGAGGATTATGGATCTTTTCTATGAATAGAGTCATATCATTTGCAAATTTTAATAATTTGAGTTCTCCCTTTTCAATTTCTATCCATTTTAGTTCCCTTCTCTTGCCTAATTTTTCTGGCTAGAATTTCTAGCACTTTAACAAATAGGAATGATGAGAGTGCACATCCTCTACCTGCTTCAGATTGCAATGAAAATGCTTTCAGTTTTCCCCCATTTACTGTGAGATTTGCTTTGGGATTGTCATATATACCTTTTATGATGGTGAGGTAGGTTCCTTCTATCCCTAGTGTATTAAGTATTTTTTTTTATCAAGAATGGGCAGTGAATTTTGTCTAAGGCCTTCTCTGCATCTATTGTGATGAATAAGTGATTTCTGTCCTTAATTCTATTTATGTGATTAATTACATTTATTGATATATGTCTATTGAACTATCCTTGCATCTCTGGGATAAAACCAACTTACTCATGATGTAAAATCTTCTTAATATGTTGTTGAGCATGAGTTCTTAACATTTTATTTTATCAAGAATTTTTGCATGTAAATTAATTAGGAATACTGATCTATAGCTTTCTTTCCTTGATGTGTGCTCATCTGGTTTTGGTATGAGTGTGAAACTGACTTCATAGAATGAGTTTTGAAATGTTCCTTTCATTTCTATTTCATGGACCTATTTGAAGAGCATTGTCATTAGTTCTTTTTCAAAAGTCTGATAGAATTCAGGTGAGAATTCATCTGATCCTTGAATATTCTTTGTTGGAAGGCTTTTTATTACTGCTGCTCTCTCATTATATGTTATTGATATGTTTAGGTTTTATATTGTCATCTTTTTATATATTGGTTCTTTTTAGTTATACATGAATATAGTATTTATTTTGACATATGAAAGCATGGGATATAATTTTTTTCTAATTCAAGTCTATTTTGGCAGATCATGTCTAGAAATGTATTTATTTCTTTTAGGTTTTCCATTTTCAAGAATATACGTTTTCAAAATAGTCCCTAGTGATCTGCTGGATTTCTGTGATGCCTATGGTGATTTCTCCTTTTTCATCTCTAATTTTGTTAATTTGGGATTTTTTTCTTTTTTTTATTAGGTCTGGCTAAGGGTTTAGTTTTATTGATCTTTTCAAAGAACCAACTCTTTTGTTTCATGATCTTTGTATTTTTTCCCTCAGTTTCATTGATTTCAGCACCAATCTTAATTATCTCCTTCCTTCTACTGGCTTGGAATTGGTTTGTTCTTTTTCAAGAGTCTAGAGATGTATCATTAGGTTGTTCATTTAAGATCTTTCTAATTTTCTTATATAGGCTCTCATAGCTATAAACATTCCTCTTAGAACCACCTTCATAGTGGTTCCAGAGGTTCTAGTATGTTGTATAATTATTCTCTTTGAATCTAAGAATTTTTAAAAATTTCACAGGATTTCTTCTATCACCCATTCATCATTCAAATGTTATTATTCAATCTCCATGTTTATACAGTTTCTGTAGGTTTTGTTCTGTTCATTTCTAATTTTATTCCATTATGATCTGATAGGATGCAAAGAATTATATCAATCATTTTTATTTGCTAACAGCTGCTTTGTGACCTAATATATGGTCTATTTTTGAAGAAGGTTCCATGAGCCACTAGGAAGGAAGTGTATTCAACTATTGTTAGATCAAATATTCTATAGATGCCTGTTAAATTCATTTGATATTTTCTATATCCAAAGAGACTTATTGAGTTTATGCTTGTTTGACCTGTCTAATGGTGAGAGGTGTGTTGAAATCACTCAGTATTATTGGACTGGGATCTATCTGAGGCTTCCACTGGAGTAGCATCTCTTTTATGTAATTAGTTGCACCAACATTTGGGGCATAAACATTTACTGTTGTCATTTATTCTTGTTGGATGTGACTTTCTTTGTTTCTTTTCATTATTTGGTTTGAAGTCTGCTTTTCCAGATATGAGAGTAGTACTCCTGCTTGTTTGGGTGGCTCCATTCACGTGTTAACATCCATTTCCTTCCTTTCACTTTCAGCTTTTGCTGTCTTTGCCTGAGTCTCTCCCAAACAACATGAACTGGTTTTTGTTGTATAATTCACTTTACCAGCCTCTGTCTTCTAATTAGAGAGTTGAGATCATGTATATTCAATCTTATTATAAATGTTTATTAATTCCTGTTATTATGATTTGTTTCTTATGTTCGGTCCTGTTTCTCACTTGCTTAGCTATTCTTCAAATGAGATCTGTTCATTTATGAGCTCTGGGGCTTGGGTTTTAGTTTGTTTTGTTCTCTTTTATTTTTTTCTGTGTAGAGTATTTCTTTAAACAAGCTCTGAATTGGCAGTATAGTAGCCATGACTTCTTCTAGTTCTGCTTATGATGGA